CACCTTACAAAAAATGCTAAAAGAAGTTCTTCAGACTGGAAGCAAGTGACACCAGATGGTAATTTGAATTCACACACACACAAGAGTGCTGGTAAAGGTAATTATGTAAGTAATTATAAAAGACAGTATAATTACATATATCTTCTCCTTTCTTCTCTTAGCCAATTTAAAAAGCAATTATATAAAATAATATGATATAATCATATTGTTGGGACTGTGACATAACTATGTAATATATTTGACAATACACACAGGAGGTGAGTGGTAGTAAAGCTATATTAAAGTAAGAAAATAACACCAGATGGTAACTTGAATCTGCAGGAATAAATTAAGAGAACAAGAAATGATAAGAAGATTAATATAATGAATATCAAAAATATATATTTGCTCTCCTTTCTTCTCCAGCTTTTTAAAAAAGATATAAAATTATATAAAGTAATAATTATAGCAACGTACTGTTAGTTTTGTAACATCTATAGATGCAATATGTATAATGGGGGGGGCTATGTAGGTGTAACATCTCAATATCTCCCTGAATTTTTCATATAAATCTGAGGTTGATTCTAACTTAAGATGTATACTGCGAACCCTACAGCTACCACTAAGAAAATAATTTAAAAATATATGGGTGTTATATGCAACTGATGAATAACTGAACTCTACTTATGAAACTAATTATATACTATATGTTAATTAATTGAATTTAAATAAAATAAAATTAAAAAATAAATAATACAAATAAAGTAAAACGAGTCTCTCATAGACAAAAAAATATATATGGTGAGAATCATTACAGAAATTACAATGTTATATTAGAAAATAGTGCTTAGAGCAAAAGAAAGCACTAAAGGAGAAATAGAGGAACAAAAAGGACACAGGCATATAGAAAAAAATTAGATGGTAGACATAAATCTAACCATATCAATACTAACACTAACTGTAAAAGGATTAACAATATAATCAAGACAGATTGTTAAAGTGGATTAAAAAACAAAGATCTAACTAACTATTCTTCCTACAAGACATGCATATAGATTCAAAGATTCAAATAGATTATACACTATGTATGTATATGTATATTCAAATATACACTATGCAAACCATAATTGCAAAATCTGGGGGCAGCTTTACTAACATCAGGTCAAATAAATTAATATTTTAAAATGTGACTAGACATAAAGAGGGACATTTTGTAATGATGAAAGGGTCAATCCATCTGGAAGTATAAGAATTATCAGCGTGTATGCACCTAACAACAGAGCCCAAGAACACATGAAACAAAAACTAACAGAATGGAAGCAAGAAATAGAAAATTCCACAACAGTTGGAAACTTTGATAATCCACTTTTAAGAATGGACAGAACAACAAGGCAGATCAACAGGTGAATAGAAGACTTGAACAGCACTGTAACTCAAGCAGCCCTAACAGGTGTCCAAGAGGTGTGCAACAACAACAGAATACACATTCTTGTCAGGTACACATGGCACATTCTCCAAGATGGATGATGTGCAAGAACATAAAGCAAGCCCAAATAAATGTTAAAGGATATAAATCACATGAAGTATATTCTGCAACATCAATGGAATGAGATTAAAAATCAGTAACACAAAGAAATTTGGTAAATTTAAAATTATGTGGATATCAAATAACATATTCTAAGGCACAAATGAGCAAAATAAAAAATCCCAAGGGAAATTAGAAAATACTTTGATGTGACTGAAAGTAAAAAACATAACATACCAAAATTTATGGGATGCAGATAAAGCAGTACATAGAGGGAAATTTATAGCTGTAGCTACCTATATTTAAAAAAAAAAGAAGGTATCAATGATAACCTACATTTCCATGATAGGACACTAGAAAAAGAAGAGAAAACTAAACCTAAAGCAAATAAGGAAGGAAATAATAAAGATAGATCAGAAATAAATTAAATAAAGAATAGAAAAAACAGTAGAGAAAATTAGGAAAACAAAGTTAATTCTTTGTAAAGATCAACAAAAATGACAAACTTTTGGCTAGGAGACTCAAATCATTAAGATGAGTAGTGAAAGAGAGACCTCTCTACCAATCTTGTGGAAATAAAAAGTATTATAAGATAGTGCTATAAGGGGCGCCTGGGTGGCTCAGTCAGTTAAGCGTCTGCCATCAGCTCAGTTCATGATCCCAGGGTCTAGGGTAGAGCCCCATATTGGGCTCCCTGCTCAGTGGGGATCCCACTTCTCCCTCTCCCTCGGCCCCTCCCCCCCCTCGCTCCTGCTGTCTCTCTCTCTCTCAAATAAATAAAATCTTAAAAAAAAGATAGTGCTATGAACAACTCCATGTGAACAAATTAGATAATTTATTTTTTAAATTTTATTTTATTATGTTATGTTAGTCACCATACAGTAAATCATTAGTTTTTGATGTAGTGATCCATGATTCATTGTTTGCATATAACACCCAGTGCTCCATTCAATACGTGCCCTCCTTAATACCCATCACCGGGCTAACCCATCCCCTCACCCCCCTCCCCTCTAGAACCCTCAGTTTGTTTCTCAGAGTCCATGGTCTCTCATGGTTTGTCTCAAATTAGATAATTTAAACAGAGTGGACAAATTGCTAGAAAGGTCCAAACTATCAGAACTTCCTCAAGAAGAAACAAAAAAATCTGAATAGACCTATAACAAATAAAGAGATATCATTAGTAATTTTAAAACATCCAGCAAAGAAAAGTCCAGGACCAGGGGCACATGGGTGGCTTATTTGGTTAAGTGTCCAACTCTTGATTTCTGCTCAGGTCATGATCTCAGGATTATGAGATTGAGCCCTGCATTGGGCTCCATGCTGGGCACAGAGCCTGCACTCTATCTAAAAAAAAAAAAAAAAAAAAATTCCAGGACCAGATGGCTTCACTAGTGAATTCTACTGAATATTTCTTAAAGAATTCATATCAATTATTCACGAACTATTCCAAAAATATTGTTTCAAAGTTTATTTCAAAAATTTATTCTACGTGACCAATATCACCCTAATACCAAACCAGAAAAAGAAATCACAGAAAACAAAACTACAGGTGAAGGAAGAAAGGAAGGAGGGAGGGAGGGAGGGAGGGAGGGAGGGAGAAAAGGATTGGAACTCTCCTTTTAGAATAATTTGGAAAGGAACTCTCTCTTTTTACAGATGACGTGACCTTGTATACAGAAAATCTTAATGATTCTACTAAAGAAAGTATTGAAAGTAATAAAAAATGTCAATAGCACTTATATAGATAATTAACTTGGCAATTAACATATGCAATGGTTTTTGAAACTTCTTTCTCCATTGTCTTAAACACTAATTACATTTTTTATTGTTAAAAAAATAAAAATAAGTAAAAGTAAACTAGTGTAGCAAGGTTGTAGGATACAAAATCAATATACAAAAATCTATTGTATTTCTATACACTGGCAATGAACAATCTGAAAATAAAATCAGGAAAACAATTCCATTTATGATATCATTACCTAGAATAAAATACTTAGAAATAAATTTAACACAAGGAGTACATAACTTATACCCTCCAAACTATAAAACATTGTCAAGAGAAATTAAGGACCTAAAAAATGAAAAGTCATCCATGGCATTGATTGGAAGACCTAATTTTGTTAAGATGGCAACAATCCCCCAAATTGATGTGCAGATTCAACACAATTCCTGTAAGTATCGCAGATGCCTTTTTCCTACAGAAATTGATGTGCTCATCCTGAAATTCATATGGAGATGAAAAAAGACCCATAATAGTCTAGACAGCCTTGAAAAAAAATGAAGTTGGAAAATTCACACTTCCCGACTGGAACCCTACTACAAAGCTGCAGTAACCAAGGGAGTACAGTATTGGTGTGATGCATATAGTAGATCGACGAAAGTGAATTGAGTGTAATAAACCCTCACATGTATGGTCAAGAAATTTTCAACAGGAATCCCAAGACAATTCCGTAGAGAATGAGTAGTCTTTCCAACCCATGGTGCTGGGGCTATGGGGCAACCACATGCAAAAAAAAAAAAGGAACATAAACCCCTGCCTACCGGATACAAAAATTAGCTCAAATTGGATTCTACACATAACCGTAAAAGCTAAAACTATGAAACTTGTTATTATTCTTATTTTTAAATGAATCAATAAGTGTTTTTAATTTTTTTTTCAGTTTTCATTTCCAATATAATGAACAAAAACTCTTCGGGGTCCTCAATCATCCTGACAGAAGCCAGGTCAGAGTGCAGCTTGGTCAGACCGTAGCTCCTTTGGAAGCTGAGTTGGCGCGGGGAGGTGGGGGCTGCCTCCCCGGCCGCGGGAGGACTCCTGAAGGGCTCTGTGCTTCGCAGGTGGACACCGCCCCCCGTCCGTCCAACAATGGCGCATCCGTCTGGGACGGTCTCGTCGATGGTGGCTTAGAAACACCCTTGCTCACCGCCTGTGCTCGGTGTCCAGCCACACGCCTTGAACCAACACCACAAGACAAAGCCACCGTCGCTCACGGGCGTGGGACACTCCCAGCTACCGACACCATGCTGCCTCCCTGACTTGGCAGGTCACTTAACTGTCCTGCCTCGGTTTCCTTGGTTGTCAAACAGGGACAACCGATCCAGCTTCCCGGAGCCGCAGAGCACCGCGGGGCTGGCGCAGATGACAGGTGCTAATGCTGTGCTTGTCCTGGCTGGTGGACCAGCTGGCCCCCCGGCCCCGTCCACCTTTCCTGCCCCCCGAATGGTCCTCGTGGGCAGCGCGGAGTACAAGGGGTGCGGGAGCAGCTCCTCTGGTCCCTCGTTAGGGAAGAGGAACCCAGGACACGGAGGGGACGGCAGCACTTGTGACCCTGAGAGGCCAGCGTTCTGGGCACTGTTAGAGTGGCGTGACCAGTGGGGACCAGGGCCCCGGGAAGCAGGCTGAACCTCAGATTTGTGCGCATGGCTCACAGGCTTTCCTGGCGCCGAGCTGTGCTCTGGCTCACCAGGCTGCCAAGGAAGACAGTCTTGCCAAGGCAGTTGCATAAATAACGCAGCCACGCTTCGCGCGGAGCCGTTTCTCACACCGGGAGCCTGGAGGATGCGACACAGAGTCCTGGGTCCCCGGTGGGCACTGCCCCTCGGCGTTGCTTCGCTCTGCACGTGCAAACCTGTTTGCTTCTAGTTTCCAAAGAACAACAACCACGAGCGTTGAGGGCAGCAAGCAGCCGGGAGGGGCTGGAAGATTCTCCATCTGCCACACGGAGGGGCTGCAGGAAACGGCTTCTCGGGGCCTGTGTCAGACCAGAGTCACCTCCGCCCTCGCGCGAGAGGCCAGCGTAAGGTGTGCAAGCAACCGTTTTTGCAGTCTTCCCCAACGGAGAGCTGATAAAGGTGGATGAGCATGGGTGAGCACCCTGCGGCCCCCGCCCCCGCCCCCACCCGGCTGTCTGGTTGCCTCACGGAGGCAGCGTCCCACCTGCTGACCGCCCCTCCCGTCTGCGCGGAGCTGGGCTCGCCCTTGACTTTGCGGCTGCTAGTCTGTGCTGGGGCAGAAGTTGCTACCCCTTCCCCACGCGATCGCGCCGAAACTAGTTGCCGTCGTGTTTTGCCAACACTACTATAGAAAGATCCTGAAACTGGAAAGTACCGAGGGGGAGCTACAGACACCTGACTTCCCCCCCAGTTCCCCAGCAAATTCATCCTTTGGAACAAAAAGCTCCATTTGGCCAATGGCATTTTCGGTTTCAGAATCTTCTTCAAGAGGAGCAGAGAGACCAGCCTGGCCTCACAGTCACTGGTGCGACCCCGCCCGTGGGGTGCTGCTCCGGCCAGAGGCCCTGAGACCCTTTCCAGGACACAGGAAAGGCTACGTTCCGGGAGCAGCCCTGGAGAGAACGATTCAATAGGGCCAACTCTCTGCAGAGCCGGTGCATCCCGGTTCCCTAGAAACCACTCGCCCATACTCCCTCCCCACGGTCTGCAGACTCCGGTGGGCACTTGGCACCTCACAGCCTCAGCAGCAGGACCCCTCCTCTCCCGCGCGTGGGGAGGTTGGGCACCGAGAGCGGAGTTCTGGGAAAGGTTTGATGCTGATCCTGACCCCTTGTTTGGTACACGTGCCCGAAGGGTTTGGCACTGGGCGTGCTTCTTATAAATCTAAATGATCTATTTGGGCTGGAATGAACCAATAAAAACGTCCCTACCTTGGCAAGGAGGTGTCTTTGCTTTAGGAAGAAAAAGGAAATAACCCTGCTCCTAAAGTAAAGTTGAGTGGGTGATGCTTTTTGATAAGAATATTCATAAAATGAGTAAGAACACGTTTTCTAAGTGCAGGAGTCTTTAGCAGGAGGTCATCTGAGAGGCGTGAGGGGGCGGGGGCGGCTTGCTGCTGCAGCGAGCCGCCGGGGGTGGGAAGTCAACGTGGGCGTGGGCAAGACCAGAGGTGACTGGGGCGGATGGGGTGTCACCTTCCCACGCCGCAGCGTCTAGGGCCTCGCAGGGGGTAATTCAGGTGCTGGCGTTAGCTGAGGACACTGTGCAAAGTGCTGGCGCAGATCAGCTCAGTGAACCGTAACGAGCAGCAGCAAAGGACGGGCGTTACTGCCCCGTTTTGCAGAAGAGGAAACCGAGGCTCTGTGTTGTTAGCTCCTTGTCCCAGATTGCACAGCCAGCAAATAGCAGAGCTGAGACTCAAACCCAGGTCTGTGGGATCCCAAAGAACCATGGCTTCCCCCCTCTGCCATACTGGTTCAGCATGGGCTTGTCACTGTACTGACCATGACTTACTTAGGGATTTAGGTAGCATTTTAGTCCTTAAAAACATATGCATGCTGTTCACATATAAACCTGCACAGAAGTGTTCGTAGCAGCTTGATTTGTAGTGGCCCCACATTGGAAACAACCAGGATGTCCTCCTTCAACAGGACATGGTTAAACAAGCTGGGGTCCAGCCACGCTGGGGAGTTCTGCTCAGCAATAAAGACCACTGACGACTGATCCACGGGAGCACCTGGAGGGATAAACTCATGATTCCAAAGAAGGTATGATCTGAGGTGGGTGTGATAGATGCTTCACCCCACACCGTGCTCCCGCGGGCAAGCCTGACCCAGGGACCCGCGGTCCATCACTCCGTGTGACAGCTGAAAGCCTTGTGCAAACCTACAATGAGCTCAGAAAGTTTTTCAGCCCCGGCTGGGACCCTGCACGTGCGGGGACCTTCACCCCTGGGTGCGACCCCTGCACGTGCCTCGCGCGCTCAGCATCCTCATCCCGAGGCACGCCCGCACACACAGAGTGGTGGATTTGCACAGTTTGGGTTAGAGACCTGCTCACGTTGAATTTCAAACTCCGAGTTTGACCTGGAGTACTCCAAGTGATGATATCAGAGGGGCAACATTCTGCAACCTAACCTGGATTTTGAGCCAGACCGTTTCCTGTGCCCCAGGCTTCTGCACTGGAAATTTGTTACTGAAAATGAACAAACAAGAATGGGGTTAAACTCTGAAAGGAACAAATATTACTTTTGGCCAGAATGTGGCCATTAGAGCAATGCGGAGCTGGGACCCTGGTACCCCACTTTTCTTTGGGGATGGGGCAGTGCATAGGGAGGGCTGGGGGCAGGGTGGTCCCCGAGTTCAGCCTGGTGCTTAACAGGATGCAGTCTTGTGGGTATACACGGAGCTCCTGAGGCAGGCCGGGATCAGACTCTCTTCTGCCAGGGGGTGAACGTGATGAACTTGGGAGTCATGGTCCTGGATCCATGCTGGGGACATGGCCGCAACTGCAGGCGGAGGGAAACCCCAGCCCTGGGCGCCAAGGCCATCGCCCTGCCCCCGCCCAACGGCCTTCCCCTGTGTACAGAGCTGACTCCAGCTAGGGTAAAGGCAATAGGAAACTGCTGGAAGGTTCTGGAAGCAAGGGAGAAGGCCTCCCCCTTGGCGCTCAGCTGAGGAACAGACAGGAGGGAGGAAGACCATGTTCTCAGTGAGCTATCCAAGGCACATTGACCCCGTGGGCTTCCCTTGGGGCCTCGATGACTCTTGGGCTCGGATGGCCCTTGGGTGGACTTGAGTAAGGTCTACCTGCCACTAGCAGGACTCTCGACAAGCCGGGGGGACGGAGGGGCAGCTCTGGGCTCCCACCTACACTGCCCCCCCACGCCTGCCCCGCTCCACAGCCTCAGAGCTGGGAATGCAGCCCACATGCCGCACACCATCAGGCTCCGACTTGATTCGTGTCCTTGTTTGACTGCAGATGGGGCTCCCTGCTACCCCCAGCGGGCCTCACCCTGACCTTTGCAAATAATGGCGCCCATTTTAATCAGTGAACTCCAGGCTCACATACACGCAGGCCAGCAGGATGGGCTGCTGGGTGTGCTCCCTCTGAGAGAAGACCCGGTCGGCCGAGCGGCCCTGCATGCATGGAACTGGCCGTGGGGAGACTTGCGCCCACCGCCGGCAGGACGGGAGCCACCCGCCCTCGGGGAGCCACAGGGCAGGGCACAGGCCGCAGGACTAAGCAGCAAATACCAGGGTGCCAGGTGAGAGCCCCTCTTGGCAAAAGGCATGGTGTAATTTAGGCAAAAAAGCATTTTAATAAAGGATTGTGTGAAAGAAGACAGAGCCCTTAATCCATTATGACAGCTTTCCCTGGAAAGGCTGGGAGCCGGCTCTGAGAGTCAACCGGCTGAGCTGCCCCTCCTCGGGAAGTCACAGAGAGAAACGCGGGCGGAGGGGTGCAGGGAGCTGCCGCAGGGACCCTAGCCTGTCCAGGAAGCCAGAGGGTGACAGATCGTCTCCTGCTGGACAGAAGGAAACCAGAGACACAGACCAAGGAGGAAGAGAGGGCAGAGATGGTGGAGTGCGGGGCCGAGGGTCCCCCTCCTCGTTCCGATGGAACAGAGAGCTGGTCCGGCTGCCCGAGCCCCACGACCCCCTGCCCGGGGAAGAGGGAGGTCCAGACAAGCGCCATGCATCCAGCTCTCCGCTGTCGGGCCTGGCGCCTGCAGTGTTTCCACAGTGACACGTGGCCGGGGTTCCTCCACAGATCACCCCCACTAAGAGAAAGCCCCCCACCCCTGCTCGGACGGAAGGAGGACCCCGGGAGTGTGTCAGCATGTAGCAGTTTGCCCTGGCACTCGGGGTGCTAGGAATGAGGGGACGGGCTGTCCCAGGGTCTCTGCAGAAGTGACCTCGCCATTTACTCCATCCCGTGGCACAGATACCTTCACGTCCCCATGTGCCACGGCCTGGAAAAAGCTTGGGCAGCCGTGCTGTGAGGAACAGCGTGAACCTGGCCAGGACCAGCATCACCATGCGGGGGTAGCACCTGACGCTGCCTTCGGGGCCAAGGCCCTCCTGGAGAGCTCGCCGAGCTGGATGGCCATCCAGGGCCGGGTGGCCAAGGCGACTCGCCATACTTTTATGTGGGACAGTGTGCAGGGCCCCAGGTGCAGCCCTCTGGTGCAGGGCAGGGGGGAGGTTAGAGGTAGGAGGAGGGAGGGGCCAGAGTGAGCCGGGTCCCCATCCACGGTCCCCAAGAGAAATGGGGGTGTTAGCACCAGTCTAGGCTGTGAATAGAGTCAGTAAGTGGCCACATGGAGAAGCTGAGAGAAGCAGGAACCGTGTTAAAGCCCGAGCATGGAAGGCACTGGAGGCAGAATCTGTTCCATTTTTGAAGTCTAGCAGATAGGACAAGAAGAGATAGGAAGCGTCAGGGTTGATGCCACACTCAGTGGGCTCAGCCGGACAGACAGCAATGGCCCAAGCCGAGAGCAGGACCTTGGGGGCATTAGCAGCATGAAGGAAGGGGTCAGAGAGGCCCATGGGACTTCCGTTTCATCCCTGATGGAGCAGGTGCACACAGATGTCTCACAGGGGATGGACAGACCATCACCGGGCTTCACGTAGAAAACAAAGCAACTGCACGTGTTCCCACAGCCTGAGTCAAGTGTGTAAGACCCAGCCCACCACCCTCGACCTAGGGCCAGCGTGCAGACTCAGCGTGCTCACGTGCTGGACACTCACCACGGGCACACCCCCAGTTTGGGTGCTCCCTGCTCAGTCCTGTGCTTTTGTGACGTGTTTGCTTAGACCATTTCCCCTATGTCCATCACCTCACCCCCTCTTGTCAAGAACAGTGAGTGGCAGGATTCAGGTGCCCGCTGTGGAAGCCCGAGGGCAAAGCCAGACTTACCTGTGAGCTGGGCGCAGCGTTACCCTCTGGGCCTGCCTCCTGCTCCCGGGTGTGGTTTCTAGGGCGATGCCCCCTGAGCCCTTGAAGCCCCTTGCAGCAAGACCTGCCTGGGGCCACAGAGACCCCGTGTTCCCACTCTCCCAGGGTGGACCGGCCCTGGTGGGGGGCGGGGGCTTCCGGGCTCTGCCTCTGGCAGCCGCCCTTCCTGACTGCCCTCAGATCCCGCTTTCCCTCGCGGATCAGCCCCCGCCCACTGCTGAGTCAAGTTCAAACCGCGTCCCAACTCCCGGGGCAACTTTCATGTGGTTTCTGTCTAATCTGAAAACACCTCCTTCCCCATTGTCTTTGTATTTGCGGACTGTTTCTGAAGTCACCTTCGAAAACCCTAGTGCCTAGGAAAGTACATATTTCATGTGTGTGCAGTCGGTGTGTCTACACAGGATTCCCTCCGAGGGGCCGGGGCCTGGCTCGCCGGCAGAGGATGGGGCAAGAGTGGAGACCACGCCTCTCTCGGAGCCGGGAACCGGCCAGTCCACGGCATCCGGGTGGAAAGTGCATTTGCACTGATGGCCTTGTGTGCTCTGTGTGTGTTGCCTCATTTAAAGCTCACTTCACCCCGGGGACCTGCTTGTCCCTGAGGGAGAAGAGGAACCGATTCTGGGAGGCTCAGTGCCTTGAGTACCAGGGCCAGCCGACTGCCACATGCTGGGCCTTCTGGTCCTCAAGCCACCTCCCAGGCCGGATGCAGGGCTCCACTCTCAGAACGGATGCAGGCGGGGCTCCCTGGCGCAGGGCTGGGCGCCTGAGAGCCTGAGAGCCGGGCTGGTTCCTCCAGGGAGCGGGTCTGCTGGTGGTGCACATTGGTGCGAATTCCTCTCCAGATGCCCAAGAAGCTGCACCTTGCGTGTCCGCTCCGTGTGCGGGAGAGACAGCCGCACGCACCTCATCCCAGTCCGTGCAGTCCCGGGCTTTCTTCCTGCTGGGAGCAGTGCCGCCCGCCTCAGAACCTTCCCTTGGATAGATTTAAATGATGCTTCACGTTTGACAAGTTACACTTGTGGTTTTCAAAAGAAATCATTTTTTTGTGAAGAACTACCTTTCTTGGCATAAAATAATTGGAAAGTACCATGGATATCTCAATAAAACACATCAAAAGTAACTTTCTCTGGCTTGTTTTGACACGTCCACTTGTGGTTTCTGTCAACTTTAGCTAAACATCAGGTTTTCTCAGACAGAACAAACCATTAAAATATTCAACAGAAAAAGCAAATAGATACAATTCCTTTTCTGTTTGCCTATTTTCAAATAAAAGGCAATACTGAAAGGAGAGGCCAGCCCAACTCAAAGCGCATTTTTCTGATTCAAACCTTCGCCGTAATTATTTGCATAGGATTTAAATGTCTAAGCTCTGGATCTTACCGATTTTTTTTTTTAAATGTTGCATTGTGAAGGCGAAACATACTAAGCCAGTTTCGTATTTACAAAGGATTGTCCAGTTCTGTTGAGTCTGATAAAAGTCAGAAGAAACTTGCACAGATTTGAGATTAGAGCATTGGAGTGGGGGCTGGAAACAAACATCGTCCTGGGACAGACAGGGCCAATGTAGCATGTGAGCCCAAGTCATTCTGTTCTTTTTTTTTTT